TGAGCTGATTCTTCATCATTTATACGGATTTCAGTGTCCGTGAAAATAACGCACATTACACCAAAACATAAACATGGCTGCGGATAACTATAGTCTATGCTTAATATTTTTTCTCCTGTAGTATGAAGGCGGCAATGAATAAATATACAGAAATACATACTATACTTATTTTAATTTTAAATATGCGCACAAAAAAAATGGAACCTCAAGGTTACAATTTCTAATATTTACAATATGCTTTTTGTTGCGGCGACAAAGTCCCGTGACTTCGAATAAATTCAATATGAAAATTCTGGGTCGTCTCCTATTTCTTCTCCGGCATGATTAAACTCTATTTTACGCCTGGACACCCATCCCCGAAGAGCCCCCTTGCTGCCCCCGAAGGAGAGAGAAAGCGCGAGAGAGGAAGGGAGCTTTTCTCCCGCGTTTTGTCCGGCGGAAGTCGCGGCTCGAACGGCCATGGCGGGAGGGGATGCGTTATGCCAGCCCGGTGCACTCCCGCCCTTGCAACTGAATGATGCTTAAACGACCACAGCTCATCCGAGTCTGATCGTCCGTGTAGGCGTGCGAGGGCCATTGGCGAGCGGCAGCGAGGGCGCCGTGCGGGCGGCGGGGCGGCGGGCGGGCGCGGAGCCGTGGACGTGGCAGCGGCGCGCGCTACGCAGCCAGAGAGCGGCGAGGGAGCGCGGCGGCGGCGGCGCGGCAGTTTGAACGCCTCGGAATGCCGCACAATAACCCTGGTAAGTCGCCCTAAACGAGCTGCGAGGAGAGCCCTAGGCCTGTGTTCCGGGAGGTGAAGGCGTGGCTGGGGAGGACGGCGGCCGTGGCGGGGGCGTGAGTTGCAGGAAAGGACAAATGTTGGGAGGCGAAGGATCCCCCTCATGTAAACACGACCGAAAATAGCGATAATCAATGAAAACAAACCTCGAAATCATCTTATTTTTAGCCCGTGGACCCACTTTATCTCAACTGCCGCCAAGCGGGACTAACCATTCATCGTAAGCCACGGCCATGTATGGCCAAAAAGGTAAATATGAGCAGAGTATGTGAGAAAATAAGGGTGATATGTGGCCGGGTGTCCCCGAGAAGGCGATGGGGGCGCGTCTTCCGATTTGGACGAAGGACGCGAGCAGTGAACAAGAATTCTTTCGAGTCTTTGGGCGTCAAGGGACTCGAGTCACCCTTCCCTGATGGTTTCCCTGGGCGAGTCTCCTCTCCAGGAGGGGCTTGGGAAGGGTTTCATGGGGAAGGGGTCGTGAGTGGGAGCGCCTGGGTTACACTGAGAGCTGGGCTTTAATCTCTCTGTTTGGGACCTCATTGTGGGGCTCTCTACAAGGATTCGCGTTTTCCTCTGGTTTCAGTGAGACTCGGGGGCTTGATGGGTAGGTTTAGGAGGCTGTCAGGGAGGATGTTGGCCGAGTGCCTTTGCTTTTGGGTCAAAGGAAAGGAAAAAGGAACTTCAGGCTTTCAAAACTTTTTCAAGTAAGTGCAATATTTTCATTTGTTGCATATATCTTTCACCTTTTCCTCACTTTTACTAATTAACCCGATGCTGCTGGTCAAATGTTGTGCTCATTTTTATTTTTTTTAATGAAATGTGTCTGCACATAGATGGCTCTGCTAGTGCTTAGCCATAAAGGAGTCAATTAGTAGACGTTGTGACCTTACCAGATTTTGCCTTTCCTTGAATTGGTGGGATGAACGTTTCTTTTACAAATGCTATGAATATCAATGGTGTTATTTTTATTGTTGACATTATAATGTTATAAACATTAGTAACAGCAAAATAAAGTAATGTAAAATATTTTCATAAATGAAGGAAAAGGGTAGATGGGTGAGACAGGCAGTACTCGTAATTGACTCGTTGGTGACTTAGTAGAAGTGTAGCCATCTATGTAAAAACAATTAGTAAAGTAAACTCCCAGTGGGCACAGCATGTACGTACATGCCATGCCTGGCAGGATTGGGTTAACTGTATTATAAATTTTTTTGGTATATTTATGATTTTTGAATGAGGTCAAAGAAATTTTGGTCAATATGTAGGAGAGTAGTGCGTTACTTTCGAAACCATTTTGATATTTTTCGGAAGGAAATTCATCACTTTCAATGGTTCTAAGCATTGTTCCTTGTGCAAAGGAATCATTGAGCACCAACTCCATTGACAATCTTGATTTGATATTCCCGATAGCAGGGGAGGGCTTCAAGTATATCAGGGAAATTATGGGGTAAAACAGGACCCCCGTGGTTGTTAAACAAAATGTCCTAACCCAACATCTAACCTAACCAAACACCATGGTATATATTCCCTATCCAGGGGGCAGGACCTCTGTGGTAGTATATGCATCTAGAATTCACCCTCTCAATGTAAACAAGATGAGTGACTTAGCCAAAATTGGGGGATCTTCTCTTTTCTTTCATGTATAGCACCCTTTGGAAGCATTTGCACATATATTGCCATAGAAGAACTTTGTCTTAGTTTGTATTGTTCTATCATTTCATGTAGGTTTTATTACCCAACTCTGCCACTACCTTATACTACATATTGTCCGAAATTTTAATATGAAAGGTTAAATTACAAGTTATCAACAAATATACATCTGTCAAGAAAGATTGTTTTGAGTTTTGAGTCCACTATATTATAATATAATGTCTGTTAACTCCTTTTCCAAGAGTTCTGGTTGTGTGTGTATGGTCTGGAATTCTCAAATTGCTCTGTAATCAAAGTACTGAATTAGTCACTATATTGTCTAATGCAGCCCCCCTGTAACCCCCCTCCTGGCAACCCCCACCCAGGAAAACAAAGAATCCTCCATGTATTCATGGCAGGAGAGAGCATCAGACAGACTTGGCATCGGGTGCTCTCGCATGTAGGTCATGCACTCTACTCTGCTGTGGGTAGAGCGAGAATTTCACACTGTGCAATTGCGACCAGAACTAAAGCTAGTCAATAGGTCTCATTGATAGGCTATTTCTGTTGAGCTGGCTCCATTTTATATCTCAGGGTAGTCTTCAGTTTCCTTTTTTTCTTTTTTATTTCTTTCTGTGATGAGTGGTTCCCTTTACCCTTCCTGCAACCAACATTTTTGTGACAACACATCCCTATCACCTGGATCCAACAGGTTAACCCCTTGGTGCCGGGTGACGCCGATCGGCGTGTACACAAAGAGCTCGAAAGCTGGCGTGCAGCCGAACGAGCCGGCGGCGCGCCAAAGCGCGGCGAGCCAGTGATTCGGGCTGATGTCCCCTACTCACGCGCTCAAAGTCGGCGCGCCGCCTTTGTTTGTTTAAGCGTAGAGTTTTTTTTTTTTCTTTTGTACACCCGGCGCCATTGGGTTAATAACAATGCAATAGTGATAACGTCAGTTACAAGAGTAACATTAACCATTAATGCAATGCTGATGGGAATGATGTGTACGTACTTGCTATGCCCACTCGAATTATTTATTTGATTGTTTTTACACATAGATGGCTACACTTGTACTAAGTCACCAGTGAGCCATTGATGAGTACTGCCTGTCTCTCCCGTTTACCCTTTTCTTTGATTTACAAAAATACTTTACGTTATCTTGTTACGCTGTTACTAATGTTTATAACATTATAGTAATTGTAATGTTTATGATAAAAATAACACCATCGATATTCATAGCACTAGTAAAAAATAGGTTTTTCTGCCAATTCAAATCAGGTAAGGTCACAATGTCTACTAATTGACTCCTTTATGGCTAAGCACTAGCAGAGCCATCTATGTGCAGAGACATTTCATAAAAATATAGAAAATGAGCTCAGCATTTTCCCCTTTTTTTTTTATTTTCCTTGGTGGCATTGGGTAAAAAGAAAAAAAAAATCTATACATTCAAGATGTGTGGTATAAAGCTGAGATCAGGAAGGTCTAGTTATAATTTTTTGGGTGACTATCACTTGTGAAGCCATCTCTGTAAACCAAAATGACAAAGCAAAACTATAGTGGATAATGCATGTTCCTTGTGCAAAAGGTAACTTTTGTAAGCACAGCCCATTGATGGTTGAAGTTATTGCCCTTCAGTATTTATTGAATGCTAGATAACATCATGACACTTATAAAGTCTGTTTAATTAGGTGTAATAAGATAGAACACAAACACAAAAAATTTGCTGCTCTTAGAATATGTTGACAAGTCCTTTCAAGGAAGCCATTATTCCTTGTAGTTTTATAACTACGTAAGTAATTATAATGAAAATGATGAAAAATGCCTTCATCTAAAATCAAGCAGTTGGAGTGAACAGTTAGGCCTAGTAAGTGACTCCATGGTGACTAAGTAATGTGAAACCATCTTTGTGTAACACGATTAATAAAACAAAGCCACAGTGGATAGTGGATCTACCCAGCACTGATAGGGTAAAACTTATTTAACTCATCTACATTTAAAAATATTTACATGTTTTTGACCACCAAAGTGTTAGTCCAAAGTAAACACTGGCCACTAGGCACAAGCAAACTAAAACTAAATTTTGCAATATATTCAGGTTTTAGATTCTCACATAATATTCCATATCTCTGTTTTCTTGGAAAAGCCCTTTATTTCAGAATATGAAAACCGATATATTTTTTTGCTCTTTAACATTCCCTTATCTTTTCTGACCTTTCTTTTTCTCCTTTTGTTTTTCCCTCTGTCTCACTCTATCACAGTACCAACACTCTCACCTTGTCACTTTCCCAAACTTCAGTCACTCCTATCCTCTGTTACTGTCTGTTTCCCTTTTTCACACATTCTCTTTTCTTTCTTTTCTCTTTCTTCATCCCTTTTTTCCTTCTCCCCACTCCATGATCAATGGATATCTTGATTTAGGCTTTGCTGGTAAAGAAAACTTACATTGTCAATTTGATTTGGTTGTAGTAATTCAAAGGCTTCTTGATTGGAGGTTGACAGAATGTTTTGCCTCTCTCTCTCTGTAGTATCTACAAAGTTGTGGAAAGTGGTTAAAGATGTGTAATCAAATCATACTCCATTGGTGGCAGTTATA